TTTGCGAAGCCCTGATGATTGCGCAGCCCGGTCCTCGGGCATGTCCTGAATTTGCATCCTACGTGCCTACCTATCACCTATGTGGCTGCAGCAAATTGACAGCACGCGTCGTCGATCAGCAGGCGATTCTTCATCAAGGCCCTCCAGGTTGTTTGCGTGTCTGCGTGTCCGGCGGCCTGTGATTTGCTACCCTCCTTGCTAGGTATGCATTATGTAAGGTGCCACGCATTGGAGAGGTAGGTCCATACCTACCATATGTAATAATTCGGGTGGAGGATGGAGGGGCATCGGGACGGATGCCAGCTGCGGACGGTCCGGTGCCATGAGTGTGGTGCATCAAGCAGAAGCGGGGACTGCTTTGGCCAGCCACCTTCATCACCGCCCGCCACCGTCACCGTCACCGTCACCACCGCGCTCGCCTGTCAATGGAGGGGTAGGTAAGGCCTGCAGTGTAGTCCAGTGAGCTGCCCCTGCTACTTGTCAATCTCTCCTCACCTTCTTCTACCTTTTAAGCCCAGCTACATCTAATTTATAGAGGTTTACGCTATACTATAAAAATTCTATTTATACTTTAATAGATACTTACTATATATCGTAATACTATTTATAATAACTAGGAAAGCTTGAATTTAGGTTTATAAGAATATTATTAATAATTTTAATAGTTTATAGATAACTTATTATATAAAATTATATAAAAAGAAAAATATAAATTTATTTTTCTTATATCTATTAACTATTCTTAATAAAGTTAACTTATTATATTTAAACTTATGTTAATTAGAATATTAATTATAAAAGTAATTAATAACTAAATAGAAATAAAATATTATTTTATTTACATAATAAAAGAAAATGAATTTAAACTTAAACAGTTTATTAATAATATTTTCCCTAACATTATAGTTAAAAATGATTATAAAAATTACTATAAATACTTTATTTATATTTTATAAATTATTATATATATCGTATATTTATAAAATGATAAATTAAATATAAAATATATTTACTTGTAGTTTTAGTAAATATATTAATAAATAAAAACTTTATAAGAATTTAATAATAAAGAGTTTAAAAAGGATATTAATAAATTAGAGGAGATTTTATAATATAAAAACTATATAAATAAAATAAGTATAGTAATAGCTATAATTTTTCTTAATTACTTACAGTAAAAAAGGAGAAGTAAAAAAGGAAAGGGGGTAGCTATAAGAGTAGCTTATATATTAATAGAGTTTCTAAAAAGTACACTTTAATATGTTATATCACTTTATAGTAAATCTCTCTTTATTTTTATTAGGTCTTTCTAAGATGCTTATTAAGCTATCCCTCTAAGTAACTAATACTTACCTCAAACTAATAGAGAAAACTATGATTTTTACTTATTTTAACTTTTTATAACTATCTATAGATCTATTAAGTAAATATATAAAATAAATAAATATTATATATTTATAAGTATTAAATTATATAGTAAAACTTTTATTTTATATTTTAGTTATTTATGTAAAGTATAGTAAATACTTAAATATATAGTATTTAATATTATAGAAGCTTTATTAATATTTATTTTGTTATATTTTTAAAATAAAAATACTGATTAAAATCTTGAAAATCTAAGTAAAACATATAGTATATAATAAAATTTAATATGGTAAATTATCACAGTTAATCATTATAATATTAAGTAGTACTTATTAATACTTATATAGTAGTAATATAGAAGTAGTTTATTAACAAATAGTATAATATTAATTAATAAAATAATAGCTTATACTATATTAGACTTAATCTAGGATTTATATAAAATTTAATATACTATTTAACTTAACATAGAATTTTAAGTAGTGTTAAGGATTTCCTAGTATTTAGTAAGAAAACACTAACTAAAAGTTCTATTTTATATATATATAGCTAATTATTAGTAAATAGCTTAGTAATAGCTTATGTAATATTTTATTTAGTTATAAATATTAATAAACTAGTTATACAGAAATTTCTACTATTTAATATAAAGATTTCACTAAGTTATAGTATTTTAAAAACGGCGTGTTTTTGAAGTTTATATGTGGAACTAGCTATCGGTTGCCCCGGGGTATCGGTTACTTGGGGGGGTGACTTAGGTAATTTAACCCAGTAACTATCGGCGTTAGCACTTGGGGTTCGAGCACCTGGGGAACGGGAGTGAACTTATTTACTCTGACGACGCCCTCGCAAGCCGCCCCCTCTCACCCCACGATTCTGAATCTACCGTTTTTATGTTCCATCATCCGACTTCAGAATACCCATCCCTCCTGGCTTTTACTCGATTCGAACCGGGTACCATCCCATCCCGTAGTGATACTGCTTCCGGATCCTCGTGTCATTAGGTACATAATCGCATCCCCTGCCCGGCCCATTTCAACATCCACCATCTGCTGCGTCGCAAGACCCAGGGTAGGTAGGGTGCCGCGCCGTTGCCCCTCAATTACCACCTCACCGTACGGATACAACCCATAGCTCTACGTAATTAAGGCGGTGCACCTACTTCTACCGCCATCACCTCCAGCTCCAGCTTCCATTCTCTGAGGTACGCAGTAATAAACCGAGTCTCGGCAACGCTGCCTTGAAGTCGCGATCAGCCGGCCTGGAATTGGCCACCCCTAGTCTCTCGACACCCTCGCCCGCACTCTGCTCAGCCACTGTCGCCTCCGCGCTCCCTCATTTCTGCGACTACCTTAACTGATCTTCAGCTTTGGACGACCATTCCTAACGCTTTGCAAATCCGACGCGGAATCTACCTCACAACTTTCCCAAAGCCTCGAGTCGAAGCAACCGAACAATTTGGAAAATCCATCACACCGATTTGTTTCCAAGTGACGCCCCTCGTGTAGAGCAATGGACGGAGCAGCGGCACCCGCGCCGCACAAGGACGAGAGTGCATTCGTCGCAACCTCACCCCCTGCCGTCCCCCAACGAACTCCCTCCCAGACGAGCTTGCACAAATCGACACATGCCCATCGCCAGAGCTTCGCTGAGAACCTCAGAAACGCTCCGGGCTCCCCTCGCGCCCAACGTCACCCTTCATTCACCCAGGCCGCCGTTCAAGAGCTTCTCAACCACCCTCCGGCTGCTAACAAGCACTCCAACCCGCGATTCGCAGGCCGTGACTGGCGCGACGTCTCCGTAAACGAGCTCGTAGCTCAAGACGATGTCAAATGGGTCGACCTGGACTCCAGCATCGAGGAGGCCTCCATGGTCTGTCGTCCAAAACCCAGCTTCTCCGTTGTGACCAGTTCTAATGCCGCGCTAGATTCTCGTCAAGCAAAGCCCCTCCAATGTTGTCCTAATTCGAGAACATGCATCTTCCAAAACCGCGGTTTCCACTTTCGACTACAACGATCTCAACACATACCTGCTGATAGTTGTCGGACTGGCAAGGCCCGATGAGGAGCAGATTTCCACATACGATGACATCGCAACGAAGGCCCGGGAAGGACGGAGCATAGCTCTGCGCGATATACAACCTCTTTGCAGAAAAGAGTCGCTCATTACGCTGCCCTTCGACGAGACGCTTGACAAGGCCATCGAGGTCTTTGGCAGCGGAATTCACCGCGTTCTTGTGACTAGCCCTGCTGGCGACGTAATCGGTATTCTCAGTCAGCTCAAACTGGTAGAGTTCTTCTGGAACGAGGGCATCAACTTTCCTGCCATTGACAAGCTATACCCTATGATCCTGCGTGATTTGGGCATTGGGACTCAGCAAATCGTAGCGGTGAAGTGAGCAGCCCCTAAGGTCTACCCTTTTCCAAACAAAGCTGACCCCTTGTAGTTCCGACAGCCCACTAGGCGACGCGCTGGCCTTGATGAACGCCGAAGGCTTGACGAGCGTTGCTGTCATCGACAACGGCCACAATGTTGTCGGCAATATCTCCAGCGTAGATGTCAAGCATCTGACGAACGCCGCCGATGCGCCCCTCCTCAAGTCGTCTTGCATGCACTTCATCTCCGTCATTCTCAGCGAGCGCGGCGTTGAGCACGGCAGAGACTCCTTCCCAGTCTTCTACGTGAACCCTTATTCGACGTTGGCGCACACCGTCGCGAAACTGGTCGCCACGCAATCCCACCGCATGTGGGTGGTCGAGTCCGCGTCCCCCAGCCCGAGCGCGCCCGCGACACCCCTGCTGGCCCCGACGACGTCAAGCGTCTTGGTGCCAGGCTCGGGGTCGGCGCCGCAGTCGCCGCTACCTACGCAGGTGGTACACAACGTTGTGCCTGCAGCCGCTATGCCCGGCGCTCATCTCTCGGGACGGCTCACTGGCGTCATTTCCTTGACTGACATTCTGAATATGTTCGCCAAGTCGTCTGGCTTGCGGCCCTCGGATCCAGGCGAGCAGCGAGCGCGACGCCGTAGAAGCTCAAGCAGCTCCATTCGGCCGAGTCTCGACTCCTCGAGACCAAGCCTTGATCTGCGCCGGTAATGGGAATTAAGCGCAACTTACTTCGGAGGATGGATGTTAAAGTGGATGGGGTGCGTGTTGGTGGGGTTTTACGATTGGCGTTTCCTGGGTTTCGCCGCATGGGATCAATTGACAGGAGCATGAGTTAGCTGAAGTTTATGCTTCACATGAGACGGCCGGAACTCTTGCAGTTGATCCAATTAGGAGAGCATTGCAAGCTCTTATTCCCAATACAGAGGGTCTATATTTAGTTCGCATTGCCGGCCAGCCGTGATACATGAGACGAAACCCGGTTGTTGGCGCTGCTATTCTGCTTTGCCGAGTCCCCGAACGTGATAATACCTAGGTTAAATCCAGGAAGAAAAGTTACGCATTCAACTCCATAGGAGCAACTAGTCATTGCGCCTGTAGTTCGACGGTTAATCGAATAGGATAGGCCGGCAAAGTCTTTATTGAGTTATTATGTACGTGTTGTTTCACCCATTAACTTGTAGACGCATCCAAACATCTCCATCGCCTACCGACATTTACCCTTGGGCCTTGAAACGCAGCGGTTTCTCAGAGTTCAATGGGCACTCCAACGGAGTTGCAGGTCGTGGTAGCCCAGTTGAGGGCAGCAAGGCTTGTCAACAGATGTTAGTACTTTTAGAGGCCATTATGGACGGTGTCGGCCAAGGGGTAGGAGGAAGACTTACACATCGGCAGACCCGCAAGCGCCAAGGACACAGCTAGTGACGGCCGAGTTGTAGGCAGAAGAGCTGCAGTAAAAGTTAAGCGGAGTCATATTGCGTGGTCTTTCGTCTAATGGCGTTACTTACGCGCAGATGCAAGCGAAGTCAGTCTGAGAGGCGCAACCGGAGATGGGGAAGTTGTCGACGAAGCAGGGCTCCTGGAAATCAAGAGGATCAGTCAGTCGTCCGCGACAGCGAATCATCGCTCTGAGAGGATCATACGGCGCAGTCGGGGAGTTCAGAGAGGTCCTGGGCAGCAACAAGGCTGGCGAAGAAGGCAACGGCAACGATCTTGAACTGCATGTTGACTGGTGGGTCGGATCGACGTGAGAGTAAGTATATAAATCTTGGTTGGGTCTGAAGTAAGAGATGAGACTGTTGTGCAATCGAGTGGATTGATCACGACATTCCGGGGAGGATTATCATGGCTTTATATAGACGTCCTCTATCTAGCCACATTCTCTTCTCACTTTCTCCCCTCCTCTCCGTACCTGATCTCCCAGAGAGTTATGACATCTTGCTAAGTCGGCTTACCCCGCAAACTCCTTGTTCAACCAACGATTCCAGCCCTCACATTCCGCTTGCGAGTAACATCAATTTTCTTTCACATGAAGCCGACGGGGAGCACGCAGGCGCGGGGTCGAGGAGATGAGGAGGTCGCCAAGGCGGTCATCGCGGACTGAAGCGACCCCAGGCGGATGTGACGTTCCAGGGACAAGGCTAACTAACGTCGGTGAGATTTCCATATGGAGAATCTGGAGAGTATGGCAGAGGAGAATCGTGTGGCGGCATTCAGCAGTTTGTGAGTGAACAAATTACGATGACCCTTCGACAAAACTGTACCATGCGATGTTAGTGTTGCTAATCGGGATATCAGGTTTGGTTACGGATACAAAAGCCAGATTTAGGGGTTTCTATCATCGCTTGATAGACTTTGGTTGGCTCAGCAAATGTCCTTAGAGTTGATCAGCCAGGCTCGCCTTCACGAGGGCATGCCTAGATAGACATGGAACACCTCGACAGCACAACATGGCCAGGTCGACTAGCGCCACAGCAAGGTTCCCTTGGGAAGAAATAAAGCCTTTCTGATCATGAGGCCAAACTAGACGCCAGACAGCTCGACTGATGTGACATTACGGAGCATCGCGGGAGAAACCAGTTCTCAGAGGTTCGTCTAAGAAAGCTCACACACGCCACAACTACGCTTCTCCATAGGCAATCAAAGATCGGTTGCCACAAGGGACAGGGCCGGCATCATCACCCAGGCACAATGGCGACAGGAAGGAGGGGGGGTCCGCCCTACTGCAAGGAAACCTGGACAGGGAGGTGTGTGTTATCCAGCTTCTCCCCAGCCCCGCCGCTTAGAGCTCGAAATCCGGGGTTTGCGGGGAAGAATACGACTCTGACGATTTGGTCGGGGTTGCAGTCGGGGAATGTGCTGGCCAAGGACGAGTTCCTGCATCGGGGAAAGCACCGGAGCGGACAAGTTGCGGGAGGCGGTTGCCGTTCGTGTGCCTCACGTCGTACTCTGTCATGCCGAGGCGGCTTGCTTGGGTTAAAGAAAAAAAAGCATCTGATGATGATGCAGAAGGAAGTCCTCGTCTCTGTTGATTTTCAAAAAGGAGCCAATCTTATGCGTCTGACCGACGGACTATGTGAGAGACCAAGTGTGAGCGAGTTTTGTAAACAGGATGTCGATTAGGTTAACGAGATGATGGCTCCGAGAAGGGGTAGCTAGCTAGCGTTCAAGGGCTCCCCGCGCCGGCAGTTGGATGCCGCTTTGGGAATCTGGGTCCGCGAGAATTCAAGGCTGGATGGAGGGGATCAGCGATTCGGGAGAGATGTGTGATGGCATATTACAATCTCACAACCGTTCGTCTCATGCTAGAAATCAATTAGAGTGGCTAGAAACGACCACCAAAACCAGTCAATTCTGTTAATCAAGCAAAACACGTCTATCCTACTTAGCATGCAACGAGGGTTTGCGTCGAAAAGTTGAATTGAAGGGGTTGAGTTCGTCGTCTCTGAGAACTAAAAAGCGGCCGGGCAGGCAAGAAGCAGAAGAAGAAGAAGAAAAAGTCTGTGACGAGGGCAAAAATGTTCCGAAACCGAGAATCGAACTCGGGGCTATGCCTAACCTCTCTGTGGATGAGAGGGCATCATGTTGGCCACTACACCATATCGGATGTACATACTTCTGTTGTTGCTAAAATTCAATAGTACCCTACCCATTGTGTGCTCACAAGCCGTAGAGAGGCGACGAGACGGCTTTGGGCGTCGGATGGCTTAAGACAATATGCTAAATAGAACAAACATGTTCATCAGGCACCATGTTGCGTGGATGAAGCTTGAGAAATGAGCTGAGTTGATTGGGTTCAGCTGAACCTTCTCAAAGCCTGAACTGGTTCGGACAGTGGCGATCACTGTGTTTTCACACTGTATGTCAAATCTTTCGCCTAGCAGAAATCGTGAGTAAGCTTCACTGCATAGTCACCAAAACTAAACCTCATCAACTGCCCATAAAAGAAACCTCAAATCCCAGGTCAACAGAATACTTCTACCGTTCAATACAAAGACATCATTCATCATGTCCGTCTCCCAAGAATTCACAAATTTCTACCTGCAGCGCACCACACAAGAGTTCGCCGAAGACCTCGACAAGGTCCGCGGGGCCGACGACTTCAAGGCCGAGTCGCTGCCTTTCCTCATCCACGCCCTGCAGCAAGGCACCGCGCTGTACCCTGCTGCCGACCAGCAGCGCGTCATGCGTCCCGCCGTTGTCGTGACTGCTGCTGCAGACGTCGCTGAGGATGAGGACGTCGACATGGAGGGAGCGCAGCCTGAGAAAAAGAAGGCGAAAGGCAGCAACAAGGAGAAGAGCAAGAGGAAGAAGTCTTCGGGTTGAATATGGAAGGGCTTGGGAGATTTCTAGCGGAGAATTCGGGAAGCGCGCCCAACGAAGGGAAGGAAAGTCACGCGTTCTCGTTTGACCCATCACCAACGCCTGCTCGCGCGCACGAACATGGTATCGCGAGAATGACACCAAGCAATGAGTATCGCTCTCAGATTTGCGTGACGAGCTTAGGCCAGAGCATGACAACAGAGTGCCGGCGGTCCAACTTCAAGAGGCTTCAGCCAGACGCGCTTGCATCATCAACTAGAGCCAGCTGAAGGCGCCAGAGGGGGTTAGGACGGGATATTGTTGCTGCGCTCAGAAGGAAGCGGTGAACGGAGCCATGAGAGTATTGAGAGCGCGTCAAGATCGGCAGGCGAAGGCGTGACCAGGGACAAACCATCATATGTGAAGGAAGCTTAATAACAATCATCAGAGCAACCAAGGTATCAAATGCGGCATCGTGTATACATCATCATCATTAAAATGCCAACTGCCTTGGCCGTCTAAGTATAAGGGGGTATCTCTGGATATCAGGGACCAAAATCAAACCATACACCAGGGCACCAATGCCGTTTATCGCACTCGTCCATGACTGCGCCGTCGCAATGTCGCGCAGCATTCCGCACTGCCATTATCATTATCACCACCACCATACCGTTGTAGGTGCAAGGCGTTCAAGCGAGCCTGTAGGATTGCCTGCCGGCCTCTTTGCGCACTGCCCAGCCCTTGATGGTAAGGACGATGATCTCCCATGCCATCAGGACACCCACCAATCCCATGGTCACAGTATACATGAACATGGCATCAAGCTCGTAATGGATCATTCCATCGACCGTGTCGCTAGCCTGGATTTCGTTAGTTGGAAAATCTCGTGAGGAAAAACTGCGGAAGACGGCGACTTACACTGGCCATGAAGATGATGCCTCCAGAGATCAAGCCAAATGCGGCCAGGAGCTCCGTTGGAGGCCGAGACGGGAGAACAGACTTGGGAGGCTTCAGGTACATGATCACGTAAGTGAAGCCTCGCGCAAACGAAGCACCCGTCAAAAGGTTGCCCCACTGCTTGTGCACCATGCTTGAGATCATCGAGTGTTGGGTGTGCGAGCTCATCATGATCCCCAGGAGGAGAATGACGAGCGCCGGAATGGGGTTAATGGAGACTCCATATTGCTTCGGGGGCTGCAGGATTTCGCGCTCCTCGTCGTCATATGTCTGCTCCAGATTAGTTGTAGCGAAATCGACGACGGATGTATTCAAGAGATCACGGATGCGGCTCGACTCGATGAGCATGCCAAGCTGTTTTCGCGTGTTAGCAAACCCCGTCTCGAAGCGTCTACTACCAAACTTACCATCCCACCACCGATGAACAGGACCGTGATTGAAATGTGCTCCAAGTCCTGGGCGCTGTATTCACCTCCCCAGTTTCCGAGATGCTCAAGAAAAATATTGGTTGAGCCGTAGACGAAAATGAGGGCGCTCTCGACAAATTCCGCCGAGGGCCGCCACTTGCCGTCGGCTCGTATCGGCCGAAGGTTCCACGCCTGTCGGACCACAAGTCAGCAAAACGGGGCCGATGGCCTCCGGAAACGGGCCGCAACTCACCCATCCGAGTTCGCCGAAACCGCCGGTCCACCGGCCGAGGGTTAGCAAACCAAGCCAGAAGAAAATTCCACCCTTGATCCAATGCGCCAGACCGCTAAAGATCCCATTGCCCTCCTACGCCGAGTCAGCATTTGCATAATTTGTGCACGGTAGTGTTTTTCAGCACTTACGAAGAATCTCCCGTAGGTCACGATGCCCAAGCAAAATGTAGCGAAGCCCAGAGGTAGGATGGTCCGGTCAACAAAGTTGTAGACACAGAGCAGGCCTTTCCGCACTCTAGAAGAGATCTTTCCCGTCACCTTTGCGATTAGCGAGCCGGCCTTGTTCTCGTGGCTGACAGTGGGCATAGGCATGGATGGACCGTCCTCCAATTCGTCGCCATCCTCAACATATTCTTTGCGGTGGACATCAGAGACGCGCGGAGAGACTTCGTTCGAAGAGGAAGACCGGGAGTGGCTTCGAAGTGACTCGGTACAAGGCTCTGTGCCCTGTCCGCTGTCATTGGACAGTCGGTACTCGTTGGCAAATGGCGACCCATTCATGCGGTGGTGCTCAGCCATAGCGGCTGTAGAAACGGGAATGAAGGACTGGTACTCGTTCTTGTTGTACGTTCCAAAATTCCGGCTACTCGAAGCGCCGGCAACCTTTCCTAGCAGCCCGATTAAGACCTGCGCCGACACGACCCAGGTCACCAGCCAGCCGAGCTTGCTATGAGCGTTGTTAGGATACAGATCGGGGGTATTGGCGTTGTAGACCGTGGCCAGGACTACGCCAAGCGCATTCATCGCAAGGAAGACAAATTGGA